GGTCACCTCCCGCCTGGACTACTGCAATGCTCTCTACATGGGGCTCCCCTTGAGGAGCACTCGGAGGCTCCAGTTAGTCCAGAATGCAGCCGCGCAGGCGGTGTTGGGAGGGACTCGTCGCTCCCATGTAACGCCGTTACTGCGCGAGCTGCACTGGCTGCCGGTGGCTTTCCGGGTGCGCTTCAAGGTGTTGATTATCGCCTTCAAAGCGCTCCATGGCATCGGACCTGGATATCTCCGAGACCGCCTTCTGCCTCAGATTACCTCCCATCGGCCGGTACGCTCCCACAGAGTGGGTCTCCTCAGGGTGCCGTCAGCCAGACAGTGCGGCTGGCGACCCCCAGGGGGGAGGGCCTTCTCGGTGGGAGCTCCCACCCTATGGAACGAACTACCCCCAGAGATCAGGGTGATCCCTGATCTCCCTTCCTTCCGCCGCGCCCTCAAGACATGGCTATTTAAGCTGGAAGGACTGGCCTAAGGGGTATTTTTAGTTGGGTTTTAAAACAATTTTTAAAATAACAAAGGCCAAATTAATATTTCCTTTTAATTACGTTTTAATGGTAGTATTTTTGTACTTTTGTATTTGTTTTTATTAGGCTGTTAGCCGCCCTGAGTCCGCAAGGAGAAGGGCGGGGTAAAAATATAATAAATAAATAAATAAAATAAAATAAAAAGCAGAGACATCACCCTGCCAACAAAAGTATGTATAGTCGAGGCCATGGTTTTCCCAGTTGCAATGTATGGCTGTGAAAGTTGGACCCTAAGAAAGGCTGAGCACCAAAGAATTGAGGCCTTTGAACTATGGTGCTGGAGAAGACTCCTGCGAGTCCTCTAGACTGCTAGGCAATCAAACTGGTCAGTCCTAGAGGAGATCAACCGTGACTGCTTTTTAGAAGGCCAAATCCTGAAGTTGAAACTCAAGTACGTTGGCCACCTAATGAGAAGGAAGGACTCTCTGGAGAAGAGCCTAATGCTGGGAAAGATCGAGGGCAGTAGAAGAAGGGGACGACAGAGAATGAAGTGGCTGGATGGAGTCACTGAAGCATCAGTGTGTGAGCTTAAATGGACTCCAGAAGATGGTAGAGGACAGGAAGGCCTGGAGGAACGTTGTCCATGGGGTCGCGATGGGTTAGACATGACTTTGCAACTAACAACAAAGAATCCAAAGCACTAAGCAAACTTGAGAATGTTTCATGTAATCCATAAACAGGATCATAAACACGATATGGACCTAGATATATTTAGAACTGCCAACCTTTTATGCATAAAACCATGTTTTTAACAACCTAAAGGGTCACTTTATTTCAATGGTGGCTACTGATGATTGAGGATTTTCTAAAAAGGGAACTAGTTAGTTATCAAAGTAAGTAGTGAACTTGAATTTATTATATGGATTCAAACAGAAACAGGAGATCTATCTTTTTACCAGCTCTTCAGAGTAGATGAGGAAATATAAGATGAGGAAAGTCCAATACTATTTTTATTATAAGGTTATGTAACAGACTTTTGCAAGTCTCATGCAATTCCCCTTTTATCTTCATGAGAACTTAGGGAGGGTTTTGTTTGGGAAGTTTTCTCAGGTTGCCCCAGCTCGGGTTTCTCCTATCTGACTGTTGTCTTAGTAGTGAATCTTCCTTCCTGTTCCTCAAAGTGATTCCTTCTGCCCATTATGTGGATGAACACACTTTATAAGCAACTGGTTTCAACACTTACATGGTCCCCACCTGTAAGGACCCACCTCAGCTAACCACCCAAGAAAGCAGAACTCTTGAAACAGGCATTGTCTCAAAAGGAAACTTTTATTAGGGGTTAGTGACAGTAAGAAAGTCAAGGCAAGATCTGGGGAAAACACTGCGCAAACGGTATAGTTAAGCTAGCAATATTCCTCCTGTCACGAAAGTCTCAATGTCCATTTGAAATCCATCCAATTTACAGGTGGCATGCTGCCTGGCCGGTTGGTACAGTTGGTGCACATCTCAAGGTCTTCTCCACCTTTCGTTTCACTGTAACCATCTCCCTGATAAGGGAGACACATTCCTTTCTCAAAATGATGGAGGCAGGAAAGAGAAAGTAGAAAGCGAAATTTATCCCAAGCGAAAGCACGTTCCCCTTCCCCCCAAACAGAATGGCAGGTCCAAAAGTAGAATATATATGCAGGGAAAACAGTGAGGGTTTGAGGACCTGACACTACCAATTGTATGGTTATATACACAGTTTGAAAAGATATTTCTTGGTTGCTTAACGAAAAAAAAGCCTTGTATAATTGTTTGCTCTACTAAAATGGACACTCACTGTTATCAGATTTCAACAACACGGTCTCTAATATGTTAATATAGTACAGCAAAGAAATTAGATCCTACACATCAAAATATAGTCAAACATGAGATAAACTTTGATAGAACATAATAGTTTTCAGCAGGCTGACATGTCTTTACTTGTTATCATTTTTTATGTTTATGTTTTACTTGGCAAAAGACAGTCAACATACAGTCCTATGAAAGAACTTTTGGTGACAAAAGCACCTGGAGGAATTCAAGAACAGCCTGCATTCAAAAAATTTTTGGAGTTCAAGACCATCTAAAGTTATAATTTATTTCAATAATTATTTGGAGATGGAGCACGTTGGCTTGGTTCATACAATGTGAGCCACGAACTCCAGGCTGTGTATTAGAAATATATGAACCAAACCACTATCTCAGTACAATGGAGTTCATGAAGATGACCTTCAGAATCCAGCCTGAATCAACAAATCCACAGTTCTCTGCCCAATTTGAACTTTGCAAAAATAAAAAATTATACAAACAGTAGACAGATCTGTTCTGACTACTTAAATTTCTATGTTTATAAGGTCAGATATGGAACAATTCTGAACAAACTGTTTCATCAAATAATCCATGCGATAGAAACTAAGACATTCAAATTAATCTAAATTGTTTATTTTATAAACAAGCAGCATTTCATTAACCTTGAATGTTTTGAATATTATAAAGATATGGGCTTTGCATTTTTTGAGTTAACTATATCCTAGTGTAGCAAGACATCCATAAAAATGACCGCAAAATCAGCTTTTTTCTTGTGAATATATATTTTTGGGTTTGTGTGTTTTAGGTTTGACTACTAGAACAACATTTCACTGGATTTATTGTACAAATGTTCTACAATATCTGGTTGTTCTTCTTGAGGAACTTCCCAGCTGGAATTCTACTGGGAAGTGATCACTCACTGCTAAGGCCTGTGAAGAAAAATGTATATTTTAAGTTAGAGACTATGGTGCACTAATATATAACACTATTATGTATAAAGTTAATATTATGATTAGTAGCTGATATTCATTGTTGTTTTACAACAAACATGAAGCAAAGATACTTCCTCCCAATTATATTAACTCGGGACCATGGACTTCGCTACACATACAACTCACTGAATCATAAAGTAGCCAGTCAGATTTAGCCTAGCCTGCTGCATGAACTGTGCCTCTATGGTCAGTTTAGTCTGTATTGGTTGAACCCAGAAAATTGAGTGGAATAAATTATAGTTATATTAACCATGATTAGGCTGGGGTTTAATTTGCCCTGTGCACTCAGCATCTGTCTTAGCAGGGGTTCCCAACTAGAGCCTTGTAAACATTTCTTGATGCTGGGCAGATTTTAAGAAAGAGATCTTTAGTGAGCATTTCCAGATATTGGAACTAAGCAGAGAAGGGAAAATAAGAAAAGGAGGCCAGAATCAACCAGGAAGAAGAACGAAGCTGAGAAGCAAAAAGAGATCAAACTATTTTGGTATAAGTAAGTTTGTGTGCAGAACTTCTCTGACTTTAGCTCTTTTCTTGGATAACAACACTGTTTTTGGTATAGTAGTCTTTCTTTCTTTCTTTCTTTCTTTCTTTCTTTCTTTCTTTCTTTCTTTCTTTCTTTCTTTCTTTCTTTCTTTCTTTCTTTCTTTCTTTCTATGTCAGCTCATCTTACCACAGGGTAACTCGGGGCAGTTTACAATATTAAAAAGATATAATTTTACAAAACCTATAGACAATATGAACTAAATAATATTGAAAGATAAATACTCAACCCTAAGTAAAAGTTAGGGAGCGAGTAGGATGAGCCAAGGGAGGGGAATGGGGGAATCTGTTATTAGTCTGTCAACCACCCCAATGTGAACCCCCCACTCATAAGAGACCCAAGCAATCTGGCAAAACCAGATCTTTAAGTTCTTGCAGAAGATCAGGAGGGTCAAAGCTGACCTCACTCCAAGGGGCAAGATGTTTCAAAGGGCAGGATGTATCTATTTTCCCAAAAGCAAAAGTCTAAGAAAAGAAATAATTCTTTTAACAACTTAAATGGGAACAGTAGTACTGGTCTATTGCCCATTTTTCTGAAGATATAGAAGCAGAGTACAGGATGGTTGTTAAACAAACACAGTGGTTGTTAAGCTTTTGGGGGGGCCAGGAGGGTCTTCCAATGGTCACTAAGCAACCATTCATAAATCGAGAATTGTAGAGTAGCCTTAATTTTTCTGAAGACCAATTGGTGATACTTAGCAAAGCATACACAGAGAAAAACAATAATTAGTGTAAAATCTCTTAGGCCAACCCCACCAACACAAACACTTGCAGAGCCCAATCAGGATTTGCAGCAATTACAGTTCCAACATCCTGGGAGGTCAGTTGGGAAAAGCTGTTTTAGAAATGGGAATTCTTGCGTTCTTCCTCTCTCAATGCATCTTTGCCCATAGGAATCTAATTAGCATCATTGGAGGACAAGTAGTGGGAATTTGGTGCCCATTGCTTTATTTTCCCTTCTTAGTCTACCTGTCTCAGTTCTACCTGTCCCTTCTTCTTTCCCGATTGATCTCACATACATGCCTCTTTCCTTTTTGACGCATCAGAGCTGTGATCACAAGCCCTGGCAGGTCACAGCAAAACAAAACTTAGAAAAGTTTCCCTGGAGCATCACCCTATGCTTTAACAAACCTGTTCTTCAGTCATGGAGAAGGCACTCTGAAAATCAAAGGTATTGGCTGAGCCCAGCATGGCGGTATTTATGAGCATCTCCCCATGGAGCACAATCCTATACAGTAAGAGAAAGTGAGAACAAGACCATGGCATTAGTAACTACCTAAGCACTCATAGAAGAAATACATTGCAGAAAAGATTGCATGTGGTGGAATGCCAACCCAAGGGTGGGTTCTCAGGAGAACCAGTGGCCTGCAGCCAGCACCCTGACCCACTGCTGCAGTATCACAAGCAGCTGAGAAGAATCTCTCAGCTTCTGGCTTTTCAGAACTGTTTTTTTTTTCTTTGTATCCTCTGCACATAACACAGCAAGAAGGCAAGCATACAACATGATTATAGGCGGGTGTTTTTTTAAAAAAAACAAGCCATGTTGAATTTAATGTATGTTGCTCCAATGAAACTGGGCGGGGTAATAGTCTGCAGTAGTTTACATATGCCATTATATAGGATAGAGAGAGTCTCCTGTTTTTTTTTTTACTAGTTTTCTTTCAATGGAATAAAATATAATTTATTTTGTATAAATAAATTGTCCAGGGTAGTTCTGGAAAAATTCTCAGCAGTGGAGTTTGGTAGTTTTATACTAATTTAATGTGATGGCCTGGATATACAACTTTCTATGAAACAGTTTGCACCCTCCCTGTTTTCCCATATTTTTATTATATACCAAGAGAATGTATCAGGGTAGAGCTCCTTCCATGTGAAGTTCATGATTTTATGTAGATTTACAAGGATGCAAACCTCATTAGATTTAGACTCTTGCCAAGTCTACCTGCACAGGATTGCATTTGCATCATAAAGAGTAGATTTGTCATCCATCTTTTTTATGTTTAATTATTAGCTGCCCAAAATCATTGGGATAAATATATACTGCTCAAAAAAATAAAGGGAACACATCCTATAGGATTTCTTATAGGATGTGCTCCCTTTATTTTTTTGAGCAGTATACATCTTGTAGAGGGGATTCCCTGCAGATCTGTTACCTAAGACCATGTTTGACCAGAGATAAAGGTAAGCTGCCTTAATTGTTAAGAACTTGGACTGCTTCCTGTTCAGCTGTTTTACTTAATTCCATTCCTATCCAACTTTTAATTTTTGAAAATTCCTAAACAGCTGGCAGTGTCCACAAAACTGGAGGAGCACAAGAGCAAGTATACCTCTTCAAAACAGGGAAGAGGACCTGGGAAATTACAGAGCAGTTAACTTGAGCCTAAAGTAAGAATGCAACAGTTCGACGTGACTAACACTTTAGATGAGAAAGAGAAGATTCAGAAAGATCTGGATGGCCTGGAACAGAAAACTGAAATAAACAAGATGAAATTTAACAAAAAAAATATGTCCTATATCTGAAGAAAAAAAAACCTTGAAAGACACAAAGCATAGAAGTGACCTGGCTTGGCAGTAGTTCATGTGAAAAGTTGTACATGTATTGTAGTATCCCAAGTTGATCTATGTGAGTCAACAGTGTGATGCAGCTACCAAAAGCAAATGCTATTCTGGGATATATTAATAGAAGCATGGAGTTCAAATCATGGGATATAATTATTCCACTCTACTCTACCTTGGTCAGAAATGCTGTATGCTGTAACAAGCAGGTGTAATCAGACATCAACAAAGTGGAACAAGTTCAGAGGAAGGCTATCAAGAAAGTGATGGAATTGGAAACCAAATTCTTTGAAAATGGTTAAAGAAACTTGTTATGTTTATACAATAGAAGAGTAGACTAAAGAGGGATAGAATAAAAGCTGTCAGCCAGCAGAACAGGTTACTTCATGAAGTGATACTTTCCCCTTCAGAACAGGTTACTTCATGAAGTGATACTTTCCCCTTCAGAAAGAGGCTGGAGAGACATTATTTGCCTCAAATAATACCCTGATAATTAGCTGCGAAATAGTTTTTATGGTTTTGCATAACAGTTGCTATGAGGTAGAGATAGGAAATAAAAGAGGGTTGAGGTTTGGAAAAAGTAAGAGAATTGGCTGGTGAATCATGTTGGACTAGGCAACTTTGGAAATGCTGTCTATTCTAGACAGATTCAAGACCACTGAAATATCTGTGGGTGAGCTATCAAAAGTTCACTGAAGACAGATGCTATGCAATCTGATCCAGGGGACAGGTATCTTTCATGTCATAAAACCATATCCAAAGAAGGATCAAGGAAGACAAGATCTACATAGCCTATTCTAGTAGATTTAATGAAGGTACAAAGTTTTCTTTTTGAATATCAAAGAAAAGTTATTTCAGCCAGAGCTGGCAGCTTTAGTTCCATTTTGCTGTATCTCAGACACAGTATGAATTAACTTGTTAAGAAGCTGATTGGTATCCAACCTTTTCACCCTGGCTTTCTGTTATTAAACCAAGAAGCATTGGAATATTTCCACCATTTAGACTTCTGAGATAACGTGCTCTCAGCTGGACATGCTTATGCCACAAGAGGACCCATGCTACTCATTGGGAAAGGCTGAATTATGGCCAGCCAGCCAGCCAGCTGGCCTCTATATATCTTGGTCTGACTCCCATAATTATTGGTGGGAGAGGCTACCATAACTGGGTATTACCCTGGTGAAAGCTTTCCACAAACGATGAACACTTATCCACCAAAGCAGCCCAAGTAGGGAAGAGGGGCCATATTAAGTGGTTGGGACAATGATGTGAAGTACATGAATTGAAAGGCAAGGCTATCCGAGTTTTCTTTTGCATGTGTGTGAATAATACTTTTCTTTGTTGCATGAAGACTTTTTAGGATGCATACAGTTTTAGTACTCCTTGCTTCAAAATGATGGGTTACCATGCCATTCACTTTTGATAGTCAAAACCTCCAAAAGAAGACTGGGGGGTGCAGGCAATCTGGGACTGTAGATTGTCTGCCTTACATATAAGTTTGATTCTCATTATTTTCTTGTTGTCTTCATCTCCTGTGATGAGTCAACTAGAGCTTTGCCAACCTCACACGACAGGTTCTTTTCTTATTGCAAATCATAGGTAGCATTAGTAGACGAACTGAATGGAATACGAATGAGTCAACTGTAACTCGAACCATTACCTGTCATAGGGGCAGTGTGTTGTTGATTTCACAGTTGTGTCGCTTTTATCATCAATTATCCAAACAAAGTCAGTGTGATTTCGTAATCGGATATTTTTCCACTGCTTCTTTGCCACGTAGCCACAGCCAGCATTGAAGTCTCCCATAAATATGAAATTCTTTTAAAAATGAGAGACATATTTTAAGATAGAGCTGCTAAATATACAATGCATACATAAGAGAAGATTGGCTCGCTCTGTTGAGCTGGCTTTGGCTAACCTTAGTCTTCCAGCGCAACTTGACATCCAGAAACACATCATAGAGTTCATCGATTTCTCGCACAGCCATTTCAGGCATTGTGTGTATCGGGATGATGACAAATTCCGTGACCGCTTAACAAAAAATTGATAAAAAAAGAAGAAGAAAAAGAGGGATTATTGGCAGTTTTTAAAACTCACAGACTGAAGAAGCAGACATTTAATTTCCATGCATTTGAACCCAGAGATAATGTGCAAAAACAAAATAAACTTTTGCTTGTGCAGCACAGCCCTCCCATTTCTTTCTTTCTGATTTTCCAGTTTCGCTATCCCATCCTTTCAGACTGAAGAATCACTGACTTTAAAACCGGCAAGTGGTGGGACAAGTAGGGTTGTAAAAGGGAAAGAAAGCAGACAAGCCTGTTGTGATTAGAGTTTCATTCAGCTGTTCTGCAGTGGGAATTCGTGATGTCCCACTACCTGACTCAGGAGAAGGCTCCTGTACTCCTCCTACCGCACCACCTCCCTTGTTGCAGTAGCACCACTTCATGCAGCTGATCATATTAGAAATAGAAACAGAAACAACCCTAGTTGCAAGTTGTCTATGTAGAGCAACAGCTAGCGAGTGGTCAGCTAAAATGGCAAGCTCTTCTGGAAAATGGAGCCTTTGGTGCAATGAAATGGCTGCTGAATTACTTGAGAACAATGCAAAGGGCTTCACTTCAATTTGCCATCCTCCTGATCTGTTTTTCAAAGCTTCTGCTTAAATTTATCTAATAGTAGGTCTATCGTTATTTTGGATAGAGCATGGATAGTCCTCAATTTACAACAAGTCACTTAGTAACAGATCTCCCCAAAGCTACTTATGATCTGGTTTCAAAGTTCCTTTTGGTTGCTCAACAATTGGACCACATTTACAGCCATGCCCCATGGTCACCAGACCATGATTTACCATGGAAACTGATTTTTACTTCTGTTTTCCAGCAAAAAATGGTCCATAGCAAGCACTGGGATTGCTTAATGGCTGCTACGTTCATTTAACAACTGCTGAAACAAAGGTCATAAAATTGGGTCTGATCGTGTGACGACTCACTCTGAACTGTCATGACTTTCAACCATAATTGCCCAATTATAGTTGTAAATCAATGACTACCTGTATTGCCTTCTAAAGTGCAGGGACATACATGCCTTAAGTGTATGGATCAACTGAGATGTTTTTGTAAAGACAAAAAAACATGGCTTGATCTTTCTTTCGGCATCTTAAAGCCCTTTTTAAAAAACATGATTATATCAATCACACTAAAACTTGTGATTATGCTGTATCAATTGTGCTTGCTGGGATAATGGTGACCATAGCAGATCCATCAGGCTGGTCCAAACACCATGTTAAAGCAGTGACCTCTGAGCTGCACATATACCACATATACCAGTGATGGCGAACCTTTTAGAGACTAAGTGCCCAAACTGCAACCCAAAACCCACATGCATTGCCGGGTGCCGGGTGGGTGTGGGCCATTGGCTGGGCGTGGCCCATTGGCTGGGTATGGCTGCGGTGGTAACGGCAGACTGGGTGGGACTAAAAAGTTCAATCAATCAATTCCAACTTTGCAAGATTTTTTCCCCGCGAGAAGTTGAAATTGATTGATTGATTGAACCTTTTTTTTTTTTTTTTGCACACGGTGGTGGAGGCCTAAAGCGAAAAGGTTTTATAAAACCCAGCTGAAGGCCTAGGATTGGGGCGACGGTGCGCGTGCCCACAGAGAGGGCTCTGAGTGCCGCCTCTGGCACCCATGCCATAGGTTCGCCACCACTGACATATACCCTTTGGTTTCTACCTAGCACCTCAAATCACCCTAGTGAAATGAGGTAGCTTCCTGGAGGACCTCTGTTTCTATCCTTAAACCTCATTAAAATCAAGTTGGAAAAAATGGTCCTTCTTTGGGATTTGGGATATGGCCTTTTTATTTAGGTGGGAATGTTGGTTGTTTTTCCAAACAGATATCAGTTTAAAGGAGCTCTGGTGTTGAACCCTTGGCTTTAGAGAACAGGGACATTTCTGTGTTTTCTAGATCTCAGACTTCTCCAAGGATCCCAGTTCTTTTGGCTTTCAACCTTGAACAAGAAGGACATTAACTGTATTTAACCTGTTCTTGGAGAGTTGAACCAAACAACAAAAGGTTCTCTGGAAAAGGCATCTTCATCACCTGGCTGCAGATCAGGATACTGATAAATTTGCCTCACACAGACGCTTTCCAATCTGCAGTGTAAATTAATATATCAGTAGAAGGTTACTGCTCCAAGTGTGGACATGTTAATCTTGATTATTCCAAGGCTGTCTTTCTGATTTAAGGTGGCCAAGAATAAAAAAATAGGTAACAAAAACACTATGTATGGTTAAGTTACAATCCTAAAATAATTGAATTCAGTGGGAGTTAACATAATAATAATAATAATAATAATAATAATAATAATAATAATAATAATAATAATAATAATAATAATAATAATAATAATAATAATAATAATAAAGTTGGAAGGACATCTAGTCCAACCCTCTGCTCAGGCAGGAAACCCTATACCATTTCAGACAAATGGCTGTCCAGTCTCTTCTTAAAAACTCCAGTGTTGGAAGTTTTTAATTAAACTAGGTTAACAAAAATATTTGGTATAATCAGAGCTAATATCTGAGGAACAATGGACATGGGTACTTGAGCCTAGACTAAATTGGGCTGGATAGTTTGTGATTTAACATTCATAGAACTCCCTCACAATGTTATTTGTTAACTGACTTAGAGTTGTTATGTTTGGGTTGCGAAAACCCAGAAGACCACCAGAAATCTCTTTTTGGCCAGCTAATGAATATATAGATTTTCATATTTTTATATGGTACCACTTCCAACTTTCTTTTCTAAAAGTTTATAGTCAGTAGTCATTAGCTATTGATACTAAGTACAGTAGCTTTTTTATGCCTTCCCTATCTTAGCAACGACAGATGTGCTAGATTCTGCTACCTACAATGATGTTTCTTTTTTGCTTCCCTGATAGCACGGTGCATTAATAGAAAAATTCCCTCAGTTTTCCTCCCATATTTTTATTCGATTTATACTGTTTTAACAACTTGTGCTTATTATTGCATTTTATTTTTGTACATTTGTATATTTAAAGATAGATGATAGATAGATACAGTAGATAAAGATAGATAGATAGATAGATAGATAGATAGATAGATAGATAGATAGATAGACAGATAGATAGATGAGAGAAAGAGTACATTTCTGCAGCTGTAGGCCTCTGCATTTTTTCCTCACAGTTTCTGAATAATAACATATATACTGAATGAAATTATGAAATCAACATACCTGTAGAAAAAAGCATATTGCTCTTTGTAATTCCTTCTTCCTAACCTGTTACTGACCACATAATTGTATGTTCCTTCTGACCGTCTGGGAAGAAAAATAAATCTGATTTTTAATTTATTACTCAGATCCAGGTGGGTTTATCTGCACTGCCACCAGTAGTTTATAGAGAGCAGGAAGGAACATTGTTATCTCCTACTCTTTAACCAAAAAATAATCTCTGCCTGTGTTCTTCTGCTGCCTGTCCAAAGTAGCCTTTTCTGGCTTGTACCAGTGTAAGCATGGCAGTAGTTTCCTTTCTTCTAGGCCAGTGATGGCGAACCTATGGCACGCGTGCCAGAGGCGGCACTCGGAGCCCTCTCTGTGGGCACACATGCCGTTGCCCCAGCCTTGCCTCCCCCCCATGACCCCCTCCTCACCAACAGCCCCCCTGGAGGAGAGTCGCCCCTGAGCGTGGCCCATGCCGAGCAGCGCAGCCAAAGACATGGCATCCAGGCAGCGTAGTCAAGACTCTGCCCTTACACCCCATTGCGCACAGTTGATGCTGCGGGGCGCGGGCAGAGGGCGTGGATGCAATGGTGCTGCTGGGCTGCCTGGGCAATCTGCGGTGGACCCTGGAGGTGGTGAGTGGCACTGCAGGCAGGCGGGGTGGGGGTGGGGCAGGGGGTGGAGTGGGGGCAGGGCCAGTTTTTGGGCACTCGGTCTCTAAAAGGTTCGCCATCACTGTTCTAGGCAACCCCCTTAGCCAGATACTTTCTTAGCTCCTGTGCATAGGCAGAAATAGCCTCCCCCCATTTTCCCACCTGTTCTTCAAGAAGGTCTGCTGCAGCTTCTGCTATAGGTCATTCTTAGTGACATAGTGGTTATAGCACTTGCTTGAAGTGAAGAACAGCTCCAGTTTCAAACTTGATCCATATTTTTAAATATTATTTTTCTTTTCCTGAGCCATCTAGTTTTCCTCTATGCTTGGGAGCTGGGAGTAAAGTCCTTTAAACTCAAGTGACTGGAAAAACAAAGGAGCCTTGCATGATGGACTTACAAAAGATTAGCAGAAAAGCCCAGTGGGAAGGAAGGTAGCTCAGGGAAAGAAAAATAGCAATTTAAAAAATCCCCACTTTTGCCAATTTACAAACTGCAGCAAACTTTTAAGAAAAGCTGGGAAAAGGCAAGAAGTTTTTAAATTTTATTTTAAAGCTGGATGTTGTGCCTGCTGGATAGTATGCACTTTATGCAGAAGTACATACACACAAACACATTTCTACAGTGTTGGTGTCCCACTGTATTTGAACTACTTTACTCAGATCTCTGTATGTGGGCTGGATTTATGCCCATCTAGAACAATTTAAAGAACTCTTTGGAGGGAGGGAGGAAGAAATGAGCACAAAAATGGTTCCTTTCTTGTTTTATTCTAAGTTCCAACCTTACTCTTTGCACATTTATTGTATTAGTTTGTAGTTTTTAATCATATTTAATATTTATAGTTTAAAAATGTGCCTGATGCAGACTAATATTTCATTCTGATCACCTTTCATCAATATTGGTTTTTTGACTCATACACATATCACTCACCCACCTATATATCAAACATATATTGCCTCTCTCTTTCTCTTCTTTTCTCCAATAAAGACGAGAGCAATCAGGAAATATTTACTCTAATTAATGGCTTCATTCAGAGTATTTTATCCAGTGTCACCCAAATCTGCATCCACTCCTACAAGTTTTAATATATTTCCAATCTGCATCTTACCCATTCAGTTTCTCTAATAGAAAGGGACATATTCTGTTCCTATTGTCCTTTATTTCCATTAGTAGCATGATATCACAGCGAGATATAATCTGAGGAGCAAACAAAAATGGTCTGTAAAGGCTCTGTGTTTGGCATGTTGTACTATGAGAATTGTTGATTAGGGTTCTAATTTAATTAGGATAATAATAGTAGTAGTAGTAGTAGTAGTAGTAGTAATAATAATAATAATAATAATAATAATAATAATAATAATAATAATAATAAAGTTGGAAGGGACCTTGGAGGTCATCTAGTCCAACCCCCTGCTCAGGCAGGAAACCCTATACCATTTCAGACAAATGGCTGTCCAGTCTCTTAAAAACTTCCAGTGTTGGAGCATTCACCACTTCTGGAGGCAGGTTGTTCCACTGATTAATTGTTCTAACTGTCAGGAAGTTTCTCCTTAGTTCTAAGTTGCTTCTCTCCTTGATTAGTTTCCATCCTTTGCTTCTTGTCCTGCCTTCAGGCGCCTTGGAAAATAGCTTGACTCCCTCTTCTTTGTGGCAGCCCCTGAGATATTGGAACACTCGTCCTTCTCTTCATTAAACTAGACATACCCAATTCCAGCAGCCTTTCCTTATATGCTTTGGCCTCCAGTCCCCTAATCATCTTTGTTGCTCTTCTCTGTACTCTTTCTAGAGTCTCAACATCTTTTTTACATTGTGGTGACCAAAACTGGTTGCAGTATTCCAACTGTGGCCTTACCAAGGCATTGTAAAGTGGTATTAATACTTCACATGATCTTGATTATATCCCTCTGTTTGCAGTAATAATGAAATTGAAAAAATAATACTGTCAACTTGATTATGTGTTTTTTGTGGAGAAAGGTTGCAGGCAGTTATGGAGTTCATTTAGTTATATTTATTCATAATTTCAGGTTGTAAGCTGCCCATTCACCAATGAATGTTCTCAGTGACCCCCATTCCTTTGAAAATATGTCCCTTTCAGTGAAGAGGTTATGTAGTGGTTACATGGGACAAATGGGAAGATCTTGGCTCAAATCTGTAATGATTATCCAGAGCTTACCAGGTACTAAACAACCTGTTATTCAGAGTTTTTCCTGAAGGTGTTCCTCAACAGCAGTTGCCTTTTTGTGCTTCTTAAAAGAAGTAACAATTCCCAACTGACCCTTTGCCAGGCCTTAACAGGCACTGCCACGGGGCACCTACACTGATAACTACTCAGCAGTCTTTCCAGCTCAGGAATTACAAACTAGGAGAGCATCCATTGAGATCACTAATCCCAGATCCAGAACAGTATTAAGAAGGCCTGTTAATTAATATTAGGACATATACTTTGAGAAAATCTTATTAGGTCTGAAGAATCAAGCTTGCTTGAAATTCTGCTGCTAATCAGGGTAGAGCATGCAACTGCTAGCTCTGAGCTTGCTATATAATGTAAATTATAAGCACATAATTGTATACCCTGGACCAAGCTAGTACCATATTTAATCATTTTGTGGGCTTTTAATATAAAAAGGTGTTATAGATGTATACCACAGCTTGGGAATTAATGAGGGAGTGATGACAGGTGCAGGGACACTGAGGAGTTCACAGGGAAGATATTTCACAGGCTGGTAAGTTAGATTCTCACACATTTTTAATTGATGTGTTGTACTGATGAATAATGAATGCTCAGTGTATTGGGTATAAAAATTTTACAAACCCACCTCCTGGCATGGGTATGCCAGGATAGACCTGGTATCCATTCCAAGAAGCACTGTATGTTTACTCCATTAAATATTAAACTTTAATAAAGCTTATTATTAAGTTTCAGTTTTCTTTCTTGGAAATCTCTCATAATCACTGAGCCTGAAGGCATTTGCCTTTACATTTGGTTAACAATCATATAATTGCATATGTTTTAATGCTTTGTGGGTTTTTTGGCTTGATTATTTGTTTGATGTTGTTTTATACCCACCAGAGGCACCTTTTTTGAGTAGGGCAGCCTTACAATTATTAAATTAATGACAATAGTCTATGTCTCTAAATTTAAACACATACACATGTACAAGATCGCAGCTCTATTAATAACTAAAGATCCATAGTAGTATTTTAAATCTGCCTAAATCCAAATATTGACTTACTGTTTGCTGAATAGCCAAATAAATTCATTCTGTTAAGTGAACATTTTGGGCCACCCTTTAAAATATCACAGCAATGAGCCTGCATCAAGACACTCATATACAGAATAGCATATTTTATCAGAATTAGAGATTTGAAATTCATTATTTACAAGGAAAGAAAAATTCATGGAAAGAAGCTGCATTCTACTTTTCCTGAGAAACCCAAAATGACTCCAAAGAGAAGTCATTGCAATGTGAGAATAAAATACTATTTTTGTTAACCTGCTCCTATTACCCAAACCTTTGAATGGTATCTACTGTAAGTATTCAACTCTTGCCCCCACGAGCACTTTTGACTTATCATGATCATTTCTTAATGAGCTCAGAGGTATTTTATACTGGCAATTAAACTAATTAGAAGTGGCAATATCTGAAGAGACATCGGAAAAGAATAATTTTTCCCCCTAAGAAATCATATATTTTAGTAATCTTACATAGTTACTAATAACAGCATTTGCAACTAAAGTCTTGCTTATCCATGTAGTTTCGATCTGGTGATGACTTTTTGGGGTAAAATCACAGATTTATTTACGCTCAAATGCACATTAATCTGAAACTCATCTGTGTTAATATATAATTATTCAGTTGAAAGCCCCACTATCTAGTTGAACTTAATCCCAAGAGAGAACAACATACCTCTACAATAATATCTATGATTTCTGGGTTTTTTCTCTTAGATTCTCCAAATGATCTCACGTTGAAAGAGCAGATTCTTAGGCTCTGAACAACCTGGCCAAAAAAGAGCAGGAACAGAAAAAAATGCAGCATCTTTTAAGCTTTGCCAAAAGAGAATGCAGAACTTCTCTCTCTCGTTAGCACTCGCACTGCCAAAAATAATAGAATTTATAACTATGCTCCTTTTGTGATCACTATGCAAATCAACCCTCCCAGCTTCACTTACATTTCATTCACTTCTCTATTTTCAGTTTAAGGTCAGCTAGCAGTGTTCCAATATCTCAGGGGCTGCCACAAAGAAGAGGGAGTCAAGCTATTCTCCAAAGCACCTGAAGGCAGGACAAGAAGCAACGGATGGAAACTGATCAAGGAGAGAAGCAACTTAGAACTAAGGAGAAACTTCCTGACAGTTAGAACAATTAGCCAGTGGAACAACCTGCCTCCAGAAGCGGTGAATGCTCCAACACTGGAAGTTTTTAAGAAGAGACTGGACAGCCATTTGTCCGAAATGGTGTAGGGTTTCCTGCCTGAGCAGGGGGTTGGACTAGATGACCTCCAAGATCCCTTCCAACTTTATTATTATTATTATTATTATTATTATTATTATTATTATTATTATTATTATTATTATTATTATTATTATTATTATTATTATTGTTGTTGTTGTTGTTGTTGTTGTTGTTGTTGTTGTTGTTATTTCCTTTTCAGTCTCATATCAGGATAAAATGGTTCAGAAGAAAGGGAGCCCAAGAAGGGCTCTTTTAGAAGTTCATCCTCCTCCTCTTCCTGCAGCCAAACTCCTTTGCTATTGGGGAATCCACCCAGTGAGCAACATGTAACATTTAGAAAAGGCTATGGCGAATCGAGCCATGAGTAATGGCTCATCTCTTCCAAGAGATGGAATTGGAATTGGAAACTTTGTAGAAGTGGCTGGGCTGCCGTTCCCTGAATCCCTCCTTAACCATTGGCCAGTAGGGCTAATTCAATAGTATCTGGAGAGATCTACATTCCCCTTCTATTTAATGGTGAACATTTTAAGACTCTTATCTAATATTGTTCATTCTCAGTGGCAGGAACCTTATAGGATTTAAAACATTATTCCTTTCTCATGTGAGCAGAGACCTTGGGACATTGTACATACTCTCTATTATTAAGTTTCATACCCGCCTCCATCTTTCCAAATGTGCCACTCCTTTTCTTGTCTCTAGGTTGCTAATGAAAGATCATCTGGAATTTACAAAGGTCAAGGAGTCAGAGCTGTAGTTCCCCTATGACATCTGCAAAATCTATTCCCATATACTGTAATATAGGAAACTTTCTCAATGAGGAACCTGACTCTTTTTAGTTTAAATTCAAGTTTCCTCATGAGACTGAAACAATACAAGGGTTTTTTTTTTTCACATTGGTCTATAGGACTTCCTATTATATTCTCACAAAAAAAACCCCTCATGCATATCAGCATCTCCATCCATTCTATTCCCTTTCCAAGTACACAACATTGTGCTCGGTGCAGAAAAAGAGAAAGAAGTACTGCAATCGGTAAAATAAATTAAAGGCAGGAGACAAAATGAAAAGAAGTCTACATATATATAGTTTATGCATTATGTATGATAGCGTTCACTATAATGATATCGTGGTGTGGTAAAGGTGGGGAGGGCAAGATTAGATCCTATTACTAAGTATACCAGCAAAAAAGGGAAGGGAGGAAAATGAAGAGGAAGATCAGGTTTTAAAAAGTGGGAACAAACCCAACACTTTATACTGACATTTCCTGTTTGAATAGCAGGATCCTGTTTCCCTTTCTGATAGGTGTGGCCCTTAGCTCTAATGCTCCTACAAAGTGTTCCAACTCTGACTGACGGATGGGACTAGTGTGATTATTTCCCTTTGTCTTAATGATATTACTGGTGTGGGAGATAATTTATGAGAGCCAATCATATGTACCTGGAGTCTCTTGCAACTAAAGCTAAGCAGATTTGGAAGTAAAATGGGAATCTGGCAGGGGCCCTTTGAACATCTTGCCCCCCAGAGTGAGGTTGGTTCCAACTCTCCTGATATTCCCTAAAGACCTGGCTCTGCCAGTTAGCTCCGGGCTCCAATGGGGGAGCTTCATAGTAGAGGTGGTTGGTAGATCCTGTTCTATCCTCCCCATCTTTCAATTGAGTTGCAGTATTTGGTTTTTCATAGTATTTTATTATGTCTTTTATCTTTTGTATAGTATTTATTTTTTAAGATTGTAAGCTGCCCATTTACCCTCTGCAAAGATGGGCAGCCAATAACATTTACAAGCAAGCAAGCAAGCAAACCAACCAACCAACCAACAAACAGAGACTCCTCCCCAAGATGGTTAATGAAGGGTGAGGGCTTTTCCCCCTCTCTTACCCAATATGACTTTGGGATGGCTGTGGACCCACCTGGGAGGGGGAATCTTGAAGATTGCAGCTCCTTATGGGAGCAGCCAGAAAGTCAATGTTTTTTTTTACATGTCTTCCTGCCAGCAATACATTTTAGTAAGCAAGTCTGGGACTTTTAACCTTACTTTTTCAACTTTTGTTTTTGTTCTTTAACTTTAAATGTTAATTGGCTGGCTGAATACTGATTTATTTCAACCCCCCTCCCCCCGCTGGACTCTATCTGCTATTTCTGCTTTCTCTTTATTTATTCTTTTTAATTATTGAGTATGTCTAGTTTAATAAAAAGAAAGACTAGGGGTGACATGATAACAGTGTTCCAATATCTCAGGGGTTGCCACAAAGAAGACCGAGTCAAGCTATTCTCCAAAGCACCTGAAGGCAGGACAAGAAGAAATGGATGGAAACTAATCAAGGAGAGGAGCAACCTTGAACTAAGAAGAAATTTCCTGATAGAACAATTAATCAGTGGAACAACCTGCCTCCAGAAGTTGTGAAATGGTATAGAGTTTCTGTTCTCTGAAATGGTATAGAGTTTCCTGCCTAAGCATTGGTTGGACTAGAAGACTCCCAAGGTCTCTTCCAACTCTGTTATTCTAATCTGTTCTGTTCTGTTCCATTCTGTTCCTTTCTGTTCCATTCCGTTCCATTCTGTTCTGTTCCATTCCATTCCGTTCTGTTCTGTTCCATCCCATCCCGTCTCATCCCATCCCATCCCATCTCATTATGTGGTCACTAAAAATAACTTGATGGCAATTAATAGTCAATGCAAATGGACTTCTCCATGAATGCATCTGGGTTGTTACCTACATTAGTGGCCATCATCAACTCTCATTGTATCAAAATGCAGTTTAACTAAGCACTTCATTTTAGAAATCCTGCATTTAATTTTTAATGGATGGCCCTCCGTCAGTATGCTCATGAGGGACAAATATTTCATTTTCTTCACATTTTCCCTACCATGCATAAATTTATAGACATGGGTCCTGTGTCTTGTTAGTCACTTTTTATTTAGAAATCCTAAATCCTATTGGTTTTCTTTGTAACCCTCTAGTAAGTTTAGTACCTCAAGTGCTTATCAGAAAAAAATATAAAAATTGGGGGGGAGGAAAGAAATGATCCGATTTGTAGTGATATTAAATGGATCCTATTTTCCAAATAAACATTCTTAATATAGCATGGCTCTACAAATACTTTTGCCTGCACTTTTTAGAGACATTTATGCTTTTCTCTTAACATCTGGAGAGAAGAAGGAGAAATTCAAGGCCGCAAGGGGGAACTGATAGCAGAACAGGAAGTTATAAAAAAAAGTTTCCAAGGAGAAGAGATGCAGTTGGGTTACCACCTGGCAATTATTTTCATCCTCCAGAGGAAGTCTGAGTTTACAGATAAGGAAAGAGCCATTTGGTTCTCTAGCATGGGAATGTAGGAAGAATAGGTACAAATCTGAGGGGAAACACACAAAGAATGACCATTCTGTACTTTCAACCCAGCAGCTTTCCCTTTTTAAAATCAGATCCATTTTTAATATTTTCCTATAAAATAGTAAGGGAATATAGTTGGCTTCTTTTTTTTTTAAACCAATAATTGAAGGTTACAATTCTATATTAGCTGTAGGTGGGCCGAGAAGCAACTATAAACTATATGAAGGCATGAAGGGTGTTCCAAAAATAGACTAAAAGCAAAATATAACTTGAACCAAGCTGAGTGTTATTTTTGGCAAAAGAAAAAAAAATACAAGCAATAGTTGAATGAAGACAAACAACAAAGCAGGCTTCAGAAGAATTTGAAATGATAATTGTGAAACATAGCAAATGTTACATTTCATCCTTTATACGCAGTGCAGCACAGCTAGAAGATTCCCAGCTTAAGGAAAACTGTTTTGGAGTGGAGCTGCTTTGCTGGGGTTAAGAAGTCCTTTTTTTCTTAATCATATCTGATTCGCAGAGACTGCCTGGACGGTCCCCGCAGCTTTCTTGGCAAAATTTTTCAGAAGTGGTTTTCTGGACTAAAACTCAAGGTCTACCCATTTCTGTCTTTAAATCAGGGGTGTCAAACTCGCAACGTCACGTGACGTGTCGCAACGTATCGCAACTTTTTTCCCATTGCCGGCAATGGGGTGGGTGCAGTTTTGCCATGACGCATCCAGCCCGTGGGCTGGCAGTTTGATACCCCTGCTTTACACCAAAGTAGCTCTCTAGGCAATTACTAGAGGGTGCTGCCATCTTATGGTATCACTATCCTGATCACCACAACCTTAATGTAGATGCACTGGATTGTACAGTACTTTCCGTAGAAAAAAGTAGTCTAAGATTAAGGTGCACTTTAGCAAGGCTTGTACAAGATGCTGAACCCTACAACTGGGTTAATAAAAAGCGGCAGCTTAACATGATGTCACAGAACATACTGGGATAATGACTGGAGTCTCAAAGAATGCAGTATCACAACTAACACCATTTCATTTTGATCAGGTTGTTACATGCAAAAATGTACAGAAAGCACTAAGATCAGGAAGGAAATGTATAGAAAAGAGAGTGACTTGAACACAAACATGAATACTTCCCTATTTTTCATTTCTCACCTGAAGTCAAAACTCTTTTATGTCAACATGCTGAAAAGCATGTTGACATAACGTGGGTCTGGATGCAGGGATGTCAGGATCTGGTAGAGCTACCAGAGCTACCAGATCTGTGCAGCAGAGTAAATATAAATAAAAACAAATAAATTATTAAATAAATATATATCATAATATATAATA